AAAAAAAAAAATAGCCAAGAAACTCCAGTGATTAAGGAGCAGCAGCCCTGCAGAGGTGGTGGGGAGGGGTGGCTGGGTTCTTTCTGGCCAGGTGTCTGCAGCCCGGAAGTTGGGAAATCTGAAAACTGGCCCTGGACCATAGAAATCATAGAACCCTACAATGGTTCTGATTGGAAGGGATCTTAAAATTGACCTCATTCCAACCTCCAAGCCAAAGGCAGGGACACCTTCCACAAGACCAGGTTGCCCCCAGCCTTGTTCAACCGTGCCTTGAACACTTCCAGGGATGGGGCAGCCACAGCTTCTCTGGGCACACTGTGCCAGGGCCTCAGCCCCCTCACAGGGAAGAATTTCTTCCTAATATCTCATCTAAATCTGCTCTGTATCAGTTTATTTCCATCACTACACACCTTTRTATAAAGTGTCTGGCATGATCATGCAGAATTTTTAATGGTAAAGTGAGAGCCTGATTCTGTATCATGCTCCAATCCCTGTGAGTTCCTGTGATCCATACATAAGTGGGGATTTTCCCCATCCCCACCAGAGATGGGCTCCACTGTCATGGCTCTCCATCACCCTAGGGAAAGGGCCACCTGCAGGCGGGGTGACAAGCAGGCAGGAGGAATTCCTGGCTTTCTTTCATCCTCTGCATGCACATTAAATCCCCCAAACACCAGCGAGCTTTGCCATACGCCTGTGCTGGTGGACAGGAGAGACCAAGCGGGAGCTCTGGTCTGGTGGATGCTCATTTTTTTCAGACAGTGGCTGTGGTTTCACAAAAGAGACTTATTTCATTGAAACTGAATTTCTTCTGCCCCAGTAGTCTGAGAGCTCAAACGATCCCTGGGAAAAGCAGCCTCTTGAGATTTCAAGAGGCTCTGAGAGGAGGAGGAAAGCCAGAGCTGAAGTCTTCCCCTACCCACTGCATATTGGAGAAGGTCAGATAGCTACTTCAGACCCCCATTACCCCTCCACAGGAGCACAGAAATCCCATTCTGTCTTACGCCCCAGTCTTGGGTTGATGTGCCAATCCTATATTCCTATATTCCATCAGCTTGTATGCCCAAAAGGTGCCTGTGCCTTTAAATCTGACGCGGAAGAAGGGGCAGTTTAAAAGCCAGGACAGTTTAAAAACTGGCAGTCAAAAGCGGTGTGGGCAGTTTAAAAGCCAGGGCTGCTGTGTAGCCCTTGGCTTTTGCAGCTCAGCTCGGTGCTGGGTGCAGGGGAGTTACATTGTTGCCGTTTAGCTAGCTCGGGTTTGTTAGCTTGGGCAAACAGCTTTCCCTGGACTGCCACCCTTCTCCAACTCCAAGTGTGATTTTTCTACTGGACTAATTCAGCAACCGGCGGGGACAAGCGGCACTGCTCCGTCTTGTCCCGGACTCCGGAGAAGCCAAGTTGGCAACAGAAAAGCACACCGAGCCCTCTGTTTCATCCACAGTGAGGAGAGGACTGCCATCAGGTTTTTCCACTGTTGCCCAAGTGCCACGTGGACTTTTTTTTTCTTTTGTTTCTTTTTCCCAGGGACAGGAGCCACCATTTTTTTTTCCGCACCATGTGGCCAAGCAGCTGTGGGGGGGGAGGGAGCAGCGTGCAGTCCTGGATTTTTAAATATCTAACAGTTACTTTTTATCTGCGTCCTGTGGACACGGTGTTTTGTTAATAAACTACTTTTTTTTCTCTTCACTTTTGCYCGAACATCAATTTCATATTGGTGGGAAAAAATTATCAAATTTTTCACTTCAGAGGAAACATTTACTCTGTAACATTTTTTTTTTTCTCTGAAAATATTGTCTCAAACCGAGATAGCCCCCCAGTCCAGCATCCATGTGATGGCTGTGAGAGGAGCCCTGCACTGGAAGGGTGTGGGAGTGCTCCTCACCCGGTCCATGAGCAGACCCCAGTCACAATGGATACAATCCCTTGCTCACACTTCTCTTGGCAACCACACAGTGAAGAAAGAAAATCAGCCTTGAAAACTCCACGTGATCCTGACTCCTGGCACAAAAGCCAACCTCTATTTGTCAGGGAGTAAGGATGCTGTCGGAACGGAGCTGAGAGCGATGGGGAAAAAGGGGCAGAGGAGGATTCAATCTGCATTTGCACATTTGGGTATGACAGCAGTGAGCTGCAGACATCCTTTTCATCAGCTCGATAACAAGCCTACACTCAGGCACTTCTGCCTTGATCTTGGGATGCAGAATGCCCAAGAAGACCGAGACCATGGCGGGGCCAGCCTCTCCAGAGGTGATGCACCCTCTTAGGAGCAGCTGGGAGTGGACAGTGAAATAAAGTGCAAGATGTTTTTGGGAGTGGCTTTGCAAGCGATTTTTTTTCCCTCGACTAATCACGCACAAATGATGGAGGAGAMACCTGGCCTGGGGCTGCAATCTGGAAGAGCAATTGAAGCTCTTATTAGGGTAGACACCATTGAACAGCCTGTTTGCAGCCTCGGCAGCACATTGTCTCTGGCTAATTACCTTCCAGTGGCACAAAAATTGTAGGATTCTTCAATTTTTTTCCAACACAACAACAACAACAACAACAAAAAAAAATCAACACACCACAGATCCTCCCCCAACACACATATCTGTCCTTTTTCTGCTGTCAAAACTTTGTTTCTGTGTCTCTGGGTGGAGGAGCATTGCTGTGCCACCTCGACACATGGGGTGCCTTGCTGCACGCTGTGAAACCACGGCCATGGGGCTGCCACGCTGATACAAATAGTGGTGACAGTGCCTGGTGGCACASTGACACCCGCCGTGCATCCAGGCAGAGGGCAGCGGGCAGTGGGCTCCTGCCAAGTCAGTGTGAATTAACCCTGGGTTGAGGTGGCTGAGACCTCCAAAGCACAGAACGCCTGGGGATAAAGGCACCCTGCAAACAGATTTTCAAAGTGATGCAAACTAAGGAAGTGGTTTAATCAGCCTGTTAAGGCACTTAGCATTCACCACTCGGAGAGGTGCCCAGGGCATCCCAACCAACCCCAAAGGTGGGCACAGCTYCCATCCTAGAGCAGCTGGAGCCAGGTGGGGAAATAAATGGCTTCTCAAAAGCCACTATATTTTCTACAGGCTTCTGGACAGCTGAACAGGGGCTTCCTTCCCATCACATACCATGACAGAGATGTGGAGGATCCGCAGCTCCTCCTCTGCTGACTCAGTCTGGGGTTCTTCTGTGGGGTCGAAGCCAGGCAGGTTGGGGGCCCCATCTTGATGGTGGATGTGGAAGAGCAACGTGCCATTCTCCAGCCACTGCTGCCGCCAGCGCACCAGGGGGATGTCATCCGTGTTGCCTGAGATCTCTGCAAGAGCAAAGCTGGTCAAAGGGGAAATGTGGAGCAGAGGGTTCATGGCAGACATTTACCTCTTCCCAAAAAAATGGGTGGAGGGACCAAAGGATGMACACCCTCCAGTCACCTCCTGCCAGCACCATGGCTGCCCCCCAATAAACCACAGCCTGAATGGCTGAAGCAGAGTAAAACCCTTCTCTTCTGGGAATAACCCAGATGTGGGCCTCTCCAAAAATCCAGTTGTGGTGAAGGGAGAGAGCAGTAAGCCAGCAGCATCCTTCCAGCTCTAATTTGGATGCACTTCGTGTTAAACACGAAGTTTCAGACACTGGGCGCACAGGATTACTACTCAGCAGCATGATGCGATCATTGGAACCACATCACAAATTATTGTGGACAAAATATTTCCCATTCCCAGCCACGTGAACAGTGAAATATGCACGTGGCTGCCATCTCGCCTACAGCTCTGACTTTCATTGGGGCAATTTCAGAGGGTTTCAGTTTTCAACCATTTTTTACAGGTCTCCACCCAGGACTCAGCCCAAAGACCTGCAGAGGTACCTGCAGCTTCTACCCAAGCAACCCTGTTTTCCCTAAATACGTTTAATTTCAGAGTTTGGGGCAGTGAGACAGATGCACACAGCTGGGATGAGGTGTCACAGCAGCAGAGGACACACAGGCAGGAGGAGCAGCTGAGGACAGGGACATGACATGCTCCAGGACACTAAACACCAGATCAAACCAAATTCACCTGGCTGGTTCCAAAATTTCACAGACAGCCTGCAGCTGTGTCTCAGCCAAAGACAGGGTCAGACCAGTGCACCCCTAGGAGAGATGGGCACTGTTTTAACCACTACCTCCCCCTCAGATCACATCACCTTGATCACTCTCACAGCACCTTGATCTCAGCCATCAGCTCAAGCCTGCCATTTGCCCGTTAGCTGTTTTTCATGAAAAKAGCAGATTTTGTTGGAATGACCATAAAAAACACGATGAGCTTCCCAGTGAGGCACAGCTCTCCCTCCTGTCTCTGCCCCGTCGATAGCAATGGGAAAGAGCYTGTCTCACTTTGCAAATTATCATTTTTATTTTGCTTGTTTCATGCTGCCTTCAAATGAAAACTGGAATTCAATTACAGTGCTGAAAAACAACATTTTAAATTTGCTGTTAATTAATTTCATTAGGCTGCCTTAAGTGAGCTGGCTGCCGAGGAAGATGGGGAGGGGGGCAAAATCTGCATMAGGAACCAGGTTCATCCTCCCAAACTGATTTGATTAATCACAAGAAACATTAGCCACAGCGAGCGAAATTGGSAGATTGTTTGTGCTCAGCACGGGCCGTGTTCCTGGCGGTGATCAGTGCACTCAGAGTGTCCTGAGCACAGAGATGCCGCGCGTTCCACAACGCCAGCGGGAAGCAAAACCAAGAGGAGTTATGTCACTAGGCAGCCAGAAGCACTTCTGAAATTCCCTCTAACTGCTGAGCTGTGTGTTTGGGGACACAGACCCCCTTTGAAAAGCTGGTTCTGGGTGCCAGGAGGATTTGAAGCAGAGGATCTCCTCCTCTCCCACCTGGTCTTTATTCATGGACTGAGAGGGGRAAACAAGCCTGCCCGCTTCCCCAACTCCCCACGGCTTCTCAACTCTGAATGAACCAGCTCAAATGGAARAAAACACTCTCCCTGCACCTGCCTGCTAACGTGAAATTAGGAGTAATTAAGGCAAGAGCTTTTATGCACAACAGGAACTCAACATACTGACATTTGGAAAAAATGTAAATACCAGCATTTGCTCCATTGTAAAGAGTGAAAATAATAGATATTAAGTATGTGACATTGTGACATTTAGAAAGCTAGAGTTAGAGATGTTTTCCCCCTGATCTGACACATCATTGTAAAAGCAGCACCCTTCAGCTCATTAATACTTGAGAAGGAATCCCTGATGGAAGTTATTTAAATGATTAATAGATTATAGTAAATTTTAGCCTTAAAATAGRTTGTCATAATTTCAAATTTATTTAAACAGGCTTATTTTTTAAAAGAAAAATGTATTTCAATAAAGAATGGATTCTTGTTTTAAGAGAGCACAATCCAGCCACTGAGCCTGAGCACTTTATCCYCTTTCGCCAGATATCACAGCATGATCCTGCAGCCGCACTGCACACAGGTCAGGAGTGCACGAGCAAAGGAAAACACCCCAGAAATCAACTGTTATCACCCCAAACTGTAGGCTATGAGCCCTCCATCACACTGCAGGATGAGGCTGCTCYACCACCGCTGCTCCTGCCCTGACAAAGGCTCTTGAGGCAGTGCCTGGGTGAAACAGCCTCATCCTTGGACCTTCTCCTCCCCTCCTAGAGTGTCCTAGCAACATGTCAGCTGCCTCTATCCTACTCCATTTCTACTTGAAAAAATTAAGCATATAAATGCTTTCCTGCACCCATGAAGCTTTCTTGGAGTTTGGCTCACCAAGACTGAGACAAGACCAAGACCAACCTTCCTCCCTAACACAGAATCTCTTTACTCTCTCTTCTCCCAGTGCAACGCATTTCGCTTTTCCCTTTGTCTTGCTCTCCAAGCAGACACCTCACCACCTGGTAGGAGATGCTACAGTGACCCAGCAGTAGCCAGCTGGGACTATCTGGCTATCACAGGGTATCAGCTCTGCTGTGGAGCTGGCAGGTGCCAACCCTGCTGACCAATTTGTACAGTGGGGCCAGGATGTCCAGAGGAGGTAGACAAGTGGGCAGAAAGCCAAAAAAAAAAAAAAAAAAGGCACAGGGGAGAGGATAATTTCAAGTTCAAAGTTTGAAAGATATTGATGAAAAGCCTGGTCCCTGCACGGCTTTCATTAAGGCCTTGGATAGGAAGCCATTAGCACTGGTATTAACTTCTTGCACCTCTGTTAAAAAATAGCCTACCTGAGTCAGAGGTTAATAACAGTAGGAGGTCACTAATTAGGCTGTGCCACATTCACCTGGTATCAAACGTGGCCCAGGTCCTTCATATCTGCAGGAGCAGCAGTCTCCAAAGGCCCTGGCTGGTGCTTTCAACATAACGGCTGTGGCTGCTCCCCTCCCAGACCATCTGCGAGGGGAGGGAGCAGGGACTGAGAGGTTCTACAGGAGCAGTTTGAGGAGAGGATGAAAGACCAGACTGAAGGTGTTGGAGGTGTGTGGATTTATGCCTGCTTCATTACTGATTATCCCAAACAGCCTGATTTCCCCAGGGACAGCTGTCCCACACAAAGCAAACCCAGTCCTACTGGAGGCAACCCCTTTGCATGTCCCAGTTTTGGGAGGCAACATCTCTGTCACACCCCAGTTCTGCACCTGAGCTGGTGCAACATTAAAACCACTGTCCATGAGCCCAGTGCTGACATGGACCAACTCCCACATCCTCATCCCCCCACCGAGACCTGGTATGGCAGCACACAAGGAGAACAACTCTCCTTAAAAACTCAGATMGGCATTTTGATGAAAAAAACTCCCAGCAAAACAATTTTCCTCTCCATTTGGAAGCGTTTTACACTAATAGATGCCTCCAATAAGTCAAATGAACTCTGCCATAATGCTGGTCTCCACAGACTCATTTCATAYAGCAGAGCGCAGATTTTGACTTGGACTGGCATTTCCTCGTTAACATTTAAACCTGCCTTATTTTCCATCCAGAACCTGACTGTGTTTTTATTTAAGTTCCCCATTAGCTAAGGCTTTTGTCCCATGCCCAAACCACACACATCCTTTAAAGGGCTCGAACTCRGCTAAATCAAGCCTTGCACTCCTCTGAGGGGTTCCAGTGTCTGAAGTGACTCAGGAGACCTTCCCATCATGAGTCACTCGCTCTCTCTGTTGGGACCTCAGGCCTTGATTTCTACCAATTCAGATGTCAAAACGCTTATCTTGATGCTTAACTCATTTTTTACTTCCAAGGTTTTAGTGACAGATCATTCATGGCATAATATTCACATTTTTATGGGCCTGTTTAAAAAATTCACATTCATCACCAACCATCGATATTTCATTTGCCTTTTTTCCTGTCTCCAATCTCAGGTAGGAAAACYAGCTCATTCTGTAGGTCATTCTGTCTTTCCAAGACAATCCAGCTCTTCCATATCAGCAAACATAAACCTCACTGGATATATTAGGAACTTGCTTCATGGGAGAGAGCCCCTGGGGGAAAAATCTCCAAAAGACTCACAGAGATGGGAGAACACACAGGTTCAAGGAAAAGGCAGTGGTGATCTCCCTGGAGTCACTCTSAGGCTAGGTCAGAGACATCTCCCCACCACAACACTGCTGTGTGAGGCTTGTTCACGTGAAGCCATGAGGTACCATAGCAAGGCTGACTGCTAACCAGGTTTCTCCTTGRAATGCAGGGTGCCTTTGCTTTTGGGAAGGTCACCAAGGAGCTACATTTCAAAGCTGTAGCCATGCTTTAGCCTTGAACYGGGATTTTTGTCCCAAATATGCCACAGCCTTAACCCCTCCCTTTCTTGAACAGCAAACCCTCCACCCCTCTGGGAGTGCCGCTGAGCTGCATAGCTGTTTTCAGAGCAAAGGACACCGATCCATCATTAGTGGGCCTGAGTCGATGGGGTTTGCTCTGCAGCTGCTGACCCTACAAGGTGACAGCCCCCCCACCCTGCTGTCCCCCGCAGACCGCAGGACGTGCCCGAGCACACCGGTGTGATATCCCTTCCAAGGTTATTTTTCCATCACATTTGTCAGTTTTGACCTGAAGCTGGAAAAACAACAAGCAGATTGGGACAGGCGATGGTGTTTGATTTTCACTCCTGTCTTGTTACTTTGGTCCCATCTGCCATAAYTGTGAACTACAGAGGAAATGTGGGAAGAGGCAAATCCACCTCCTGGACCAACACTTGGGTGACACGGTCATGTTTGAAAGAACCCAAATGCACACCCAAGATAGGGAGCAAAAGCAAAATATAGAGAATGTGTGACTACACTTCCAAGATGCGACACTGATATAAAAACCCCAGAAGGGACCACAT